GGTGCCCTGACAAACGAAGTGTCAAAACATTTCCAAATTAAAACCACACAGCTCCTACGGCCCCACACCCTCAGCAGGATGGACTTCCCTGCTTACACCCAGTGCACACTTGAAGAAACTAAAAATAGCCAGATGGCAATTAAGAGAAACTCCAAGGACGGGAGGAAGGGTGGGTTCCAGCGGGGTCAGTTTCCTGGATGGATTCCAAATGGAGTTCTTAGCCAGCAGTGCTCTGGCCAAGAAAGGACTTTCATTAAAACTGCATGGAGGAGGCAGAATAAAAAAAATCAAGATTTGAAATCTTTAAAATTATAGCAGAGGTGGAAACTACAGCACCATATCTCAAGACCATCCATAATAATAACACTTGTTAATATGTATTATGTTCATATCATGGACCATAATGAGCATATGTACTTTATCATCTTGCACTTGTAAGAACTCTAGGAAGTAGCTACTACTCTTATCATTGTCCTACTCTTATAGGACAAAGAGCAAAGCAAACAGCATGTGCAAAGAAAGCCCTTAGCATGGTGCATGCCTGTACTAAGATCCTCAATAAATAATAGCCATTGGTATTGATCATTCTAAACCCATGCCCTTTTAGTTAGTCAATTTCAATGGCCTTTTACATAGTCAATTTCAATGAGAAAGAATACAAGGATTTAGTGAAAAAGTAGCATCCTCCACAGACTCACAGGGGTTATTCTAGAATCGTTTTTAGAATGATAAATGTAAACACAAAAGGACCAAATAAAATTTTTGATTTGTGATAGATTTGGTGTTAAGGCAACCAGCCACCCTAGTTTTTCTGGGATGAAGGGGATTCTTGATCTAACACAGGGACAGTTTGCTCCTTCAGTTTGCAGGGGGAAATGTTTACTCCCAGGAGAGGGTAGTATTGGAGGTAAGAGATGTCATCTACCCTTTTACTTTTTTCCCCTCAGCAGGAGCCATTTATCTGACTGGTGGTACTGGGAAATGGGACTAAGCATACTTAGCTCAGGTGCTTGGGAGGGGCCAGCCTGCCCACACCTGCTGTGTGCCTGGAGTCCCCAACATGAGCAGCTTACAGGGCAGGGTCCGGTACTTGTCTGGGAGACCAACTGTTCTGCATACAAGTGAATGGAAAAGTCCAGTTTGGGAGAAGAAGGAACAAGAAACTATTTGGCCACAGGTCTAAGCCCCATTCTCCAAATAGCAATACTGACAACAAAGCTGATATTGTGATTTCTACCTATTTCTAAATTGGTTCAGAACTCAAAGGGGGAAAGGGATATCATTAATTATCAACCTTGATTAGTTGTCACCTTGAGAAACCCCAACAGATGGATTCCTATTTCCTTTCACTGGCAGATAAACCCATTTCAGGCAGGCAGGAAGAGGGTATTTTATAAAATCAAATGAGGTTAGAGTTGGGAGTAACCTTAAAGATAATCTGGTCCAATATCTTCATTGTTACAGATGAAAAGATACACAAATAAAACGGCCACGTGACACGGTCCATGTGGAAAGTCTGCAAAAGACTTTTATAAGCAAATTATTAGCGTCATTAGTAGTTTGGGAAGTGGTCTTTAGAAGCTGTACCCAGGATTAAGAATAGATCATAAATAACATAGGAAATAGATTTGGGATAATAGATATTAATAATAGATTTCAGATTTAAACTAAGTCCCTACAGGAGAGAAGTTTCCCTAGGTAAAACTATTATCTCCAGGATATATCCTCAAACCATGAAGAAGAAATCAACAGTTCTGGGTTGAATTTTTTTTTTAATTAAAAAAAAACCTACCTTAGGTCCACAAGACTACTTACTTATAAAGACCAGATAAGGGACAAAAGAAACAAATTTTCCCCCTCTGTCCTCATCCTGCCCATCCATCATAATCACATCTTCACTGTGCATGTTTGCTCCATAATTGCTAACCAGGAGTGTCCCACTGGCAAAGAAAGTAAGGTTCCTGGGAACCTCAAGACATCCAACATGTGAGACCCTTTGGCCAAACCCGGTCATTTCTGGTCTTAATCTTTGCATCTTCTCTATTACCCTTGCCTACCAAAGGACCTAGATCTGGCTTTCATTTAGATAGTGCCCAGTCCTGAATGAGTCAGAAGAAGCCCACTTCACCCTCTCTCTGCCACTGAAAACAGCATTAAAGCCTGGACAGAGTGCATGGGACAACTATTTGAGGACTCTGAAAAGAAAAAAGTAGCCGGCAGGTTGGGGAAGAAGACTAAAATTTGAAATACTATCCCACTTATCCCTTTTTTCCCCACCCATAAAACTTGGCCTAAAGTCAACACACCAGAAATGAGCACCAGGTACAGAAAAAGAGAGCTCCCAAGTCACCGTCTAGTTCTGGTTCCAGAAGCAGGAAAGGGAATTCCTAACATGCAGAGTGTGAAAATTCTGTTTTTCCTCTCTCTCCTTCCTTTCCTCTTCCCCTTACTCTTTCCCTTTCTCTCCCTCCCTCCTTCCCCACTCCAGCCCCCAGCAACCTCACGGTATTGCCAAGACCAGCCTGCATTAGTCAAACTATGAGGCAAGTGAACCTTCCTCTCCATTCACTGGCATTGTTGTTCCAAAAGGCTGGGCTGACCCTCAGTGCTTTTTCCTCTCTCTGTCTGGCCAATATATAGATAAAGTCATGGAAGTATATGGCAGAGTAAACTTTTTGGCCAGAGACTGAAAAGTGGTCACAGGGAACCAGAAAGTGTCATGTAGATCATGGAGGGGAAGGAGCTTGGCAAAGCAACCCCATGCAGTTTCCTTTATAAATTCCTGGGCTCAGCGCTGGCCTGTGCATGCATGGATAGGATACTAGTTAACATACCAGAAGTTTGAGAACTTTGCTCAGGTGCCAGACTGACCACTGGGTGACACACACAGAGGACAGATCCAAGTAGCACTGCCGAGGCTTTGAAAACTGAGCTGACATAGGAAGCACAACCCTTTGACGACCAACTATTTTGGGATGAAACTTGCAGCCTGAATCTGACCAGGTTGACTGGCTGCTAAAACTAAATGATCAATGTTCTCCATAGGCTTCATAATAAATTATTCAAAACATACAGGAGATAATACAAAATTTCTTGGCATGTGAAGAATCAGGAAAATCTCAATTCCCATAGGAAAAGATCATCAGCCAAAGCTAATACTGCCATGACACAGAGGTTAGAGCCATCTGGCAAAGACTTCAAAGCAGTTATCATCAAAAAGTTCATGGTTGCTGAATCATGAACACTGCTAACACCAATGGACAAATAGAAAGTCTCAGCCAAGAAACAGATGCTAAAACAAAGGGCCAAAATGGAAATTTTGGAAACAAAAAGTATAATAACCAAAATAAAAATGTCACTGACGGGCTCAATAGCAGAATGGAGATGACAGAGGAAAGCAAGCCATGGGCAAACCAACTCCTAGGTGGGGACCTATTTATCAATACTTTTTCATGTATCTTCCCCTCTATTTTAATTAACTATTATTGTATAACAAATTACATCAAAATTTAGTGGCTTAAACCAGAAACAATGTATTAGTTCTCCCAATTTTGTGGGAAGGCAGGGCAGTTCTCTGCTGGTCTTGCATGGATTTGTTCACATTTCTGCATTCGGAAGGCAGGGTGGTTAGACAGGAAGGCCCAAGGTGGCTTCACTCACAAGTCCGACAGTCAGTGTCGGTTGTCATCTGGGATGCCTTGGATCCATGTGACCTCTCAACTCCAGTAGGCTAGACTGGGCTTTTTCACAGTACAGCAGTCTCAGGGTTCCAAGAAGTTGACAGCAGAAGCCACAAGGCTCTATGTCTCTTAATAAAAGGAGCAGCTAAATGACTTTGAAACATGGCATGGATATAGGGAGGTGTGAGTCATTGGGACCATTATTTCAATGTTCTACCGGGAATTAATGCTTCAAAGCTCAAAGACCATGGATCTATGATTATCAGAGAATAACAGACGGTAAAACTCAGAAAAGTTTAGTGTTTTGCCTAAGATCACACAGCTAGTTAAGGGGAAAATATGAAACTGGATCCCATGACTGCTGATTCCTCTGACTAATACTGTTGCTTCGGAGATGAGCTGTTTAGTATTTTGAACACTTTGGCTATTTACCAAGCAGAAGAATGAAAACAACAGTTGTACAAAGTGTTAGCAATCATTCATCATTTAGATCCAGTTCATGAAGGAAATAAATGCATGCACTTGTGAAGTCTATGCAAAAACTGAAGCAGAGTGTCTCATGAAGAACTATTCATTTTGTAGCAACACAGCTCCTAACCTGTTCTATGCACCAAAATGTAGTGCATTCAGTCTTTTGCATTCCTGGCATTCAGAGATTAATATTTTTAGTAAGGTAAAAAATTCACATAACATAAATGTAACTATTAACATTTTAAAGTATAGACTTTTGTGTCATTTAATACATTCATAATATCGTACAATCATTACTTCTATCTAGTTTCAAGATATTTTCATCACCCCAAAGGAAACCTTGTCCCCATTAAATGCTCACTTGCCATTTCCCTCTCCCTCTTAGCCCTGAAACTGCTAGTATGTTTTTTGTCTCTTGGATTTATCTATTTTGGATACGTCATATAAATGGAATCATATGACCTTTTGTGAGTGGTTTCTTTCACTTAGCTTGTTTTTGAGGTTTTTCCACGTTGTAGCGTGTATCAGCATTTCATGCCTTTTTATGGATAACACAAATGGAATAATATTCATAATATTCCATGTGTGAATATACTACATTTTGTTTAAATATTCATCAATTGATGGGCTTTTGGACTGTTTCCACTTTTTGGCTATTCTGAATAAGTGCTATTATGAACATTTGTCTACAAGTATTTGTTTGAATGACTGTTTTCAATTCTTTTGGGTATTTAGCTAGGAGCGGAATTGCTGGGTCCTATGGTAATTCTATCAAAGCTTCACTTTGATTCTGGGCTTGAAAAGACTTCTGAAAACGGCATGAGATGAAGAACCTGGAGCCAGCATTACCTTGTCTTTAAAGTCAGCGTGGTTCTGGAGGATGGCTCTGTGGTACGTGGCTATCCTCACAAAATCTTGCATCATGTTCTGCTGCTGGGAAATGGAGCCATAAAACTGTAAGGGGAAGAGAAAGGAGAGGGGGAGTAAACAACCTACAAGGCAGCACCGTCATGAGCATCTGGGTCCCACAGCCAGCTGGGTCAAGGCAGGCACTACCTTCAGCTCACAGGGACATGGAGGCTCTGAGAGAGTCTGTCAACATCAGACTCTTGGCTCTCAGGAGTCTGTCAACATCAGACTCCTGGCTCCTGCTCCAGACAATAGATTCAGGTCTAGATATTGGTGAGATAGGTGCCCGGGATCCCTTCCTAAAGCAGAGGCTATGGGACAGCACAGGTCAAGAACAACAGACTCAAGGGGGAAAGGGGCCAGGGCCAAAGGGATGGCCTGCCCTGGTGAGTCCCATGAACCTTGTGCAGAAAAGAGAACTTGGATAGAAATCCTGGGTGACAGTGGAGGCGGGGCAGAAGGTGGTGACGGTGGTGATCCTGATGGGGACAGAAGCAAGCCAGCTGGGTGACATGGGGTACGTAACGCCAGGAACACTGACAGTAATAAACATCATCCTTGTAATCACCACCATCTGGTAGGCCATTTGGTAGGGATTTCTAGGTGCCAAGAACCATGTTAAGTGCTTCACAGTCATCATCTAATCCAGTTAAATCAGCACAACAATTAGGTGAATTATGTTGCTCAGCCAAGGAAACTGAGGCTCAGAAAAGTAAAGCGACTTGCCCAAGTCCTGACCACATAGTAAGTGGCAGAGCAGGGATGCTGTTGGTCTGGGGGCCACATTTTGAGAACCATGGCAATAGAACGTCAATCGTCTCTGGTCCACACACCCTGCCTAGGTGTGTGTGATCTTGAATCAAGTCCATCAGTCTTACCCAGGACAACTCTCCTGACCTGGAAGTATTGTGTAGCAGATGCTTCTTCTGTCTGCTGGCTGAACACTGAGTGCTCCTTTTTCTGATTCCGGCATCTTTTCAAGGTATTTGAAAATGCACTGAATTCTGCAAGGATAAAAAGCAGATCTGTTTCTTCAGCTTGGAAACCACAGAACTCACCACTGCGCTCTGCAAAAAAATTCCAACTGTGGAAATATTAGAAGATGAAAATGGCACATTCAACCCTGAACGCATACATGATAAGGAATGGCAAGGTGGAAATGGGGGCCACTCTGAGGCGTGCCGCCCTTATTTACACTTGTCAGACACATTTGCGTTCAGAAATGTCAAGTGAGAGAGCACAATGGGACACAGGCAGAGATCGGGCTCCCAGAAGGCTCCTGGTATTGTGCTCACGAAGCTCACAGCCTTATCCTCAGTATGTGCTCTGGGGAAGCGGGTCCCTGATGAGAAGGAAACACACACACAACCTCGTTCTATCATCATAATAGCAACATTTTCCCTCTCACTTAGTATCCTCTAGCTATATAGAGAAAAAGCAAAACAACTGGGGATATGTGAGTATAAAAAAAGTGCTTTATATTATTTGAGGAAAAAATACAGAAGAGAAGTCTCAAAAAGTTCCAGAAGTGATAATATTGATAGATAACACTCCATACACAGTTGCCAAATCCTGTGACTTCTGCCTCAGAAATGTCTCTTGAATCCTGCCTCGTGTCCCCACTGTGTGTGGCTTCTTCCCTCTCCACCACAGGCATTGTGACCAGGTCACTTCGTCACAACCAAGGCTGGCTCTCTAATGCCCACACACTCTTGGTCCATGATAAGCTCTGGCTCCTTAGATTCCAGACCCAACCTCTCGCATTCCTGTCTGTCCCATTCCAGCACCTTCCGTGCCCTCTCTTCCTGCACACACGAGACCTGCACTATGTTCTCCACACGCCCACTGTGCTGAACTACTTACAGGTTCTCAGATCAACCTGGTTGTGGCCAGGCTTCTTGACTTTGACCTTCTATTTTTTTATGTTAGATTATCTTTCAACATCAAACTCCTATGCATCTTCCCAGATTCTGTTCAACTAGCACTTCTTCGTTGTGGTGTTCTGGAACATCACAGGCAGAATTAGTTGCTATAATACAGTGGGTTTCAATACACAGTTGAAGATCAGAATCACCTGGAAAAGATTTTTTTTTTTTTTTTTACCAGTGGATACCGGGCCCTCACCCTAAACCTGGCAATTCAATGTTCTGGTGGCAGGGAAAGAAGTCTCCATGTTTTCAAAAGCACGCAGGGTTAATTCTCATGTGTAGTTAGGGATGAGGAATTTTGCTCTAATATCATGTTCTCAGCCTATGACGTATCATAGTTCATATTTTATTGCATTTGTCAATTTTTAAGCTCTCCACTTCTCTACCTAAATCAAATTCTTTCAGGGCATTGTTTACAGGTTGTCTTGGTCCATTTTGTGTTGCTGTAACATAACACCAAAGACTGGATAATTTATAAAGAACACTAATTTATTTCTTACAATGCCAGAGGCTAAGAAGTCAAGGTCCAGGTGTGCATGTGGTGAGGATCTTTCCTGCCATGGCAGAAGGCAGGGGGACAAGCAGGGGCATGAGCAAGATATAGGGGGGGCTGGGCCAACTTTTATAACATACTCTCTCATTTACTACACTAATCCATGCAGGACGGCAGAGCCCTCATGGTCTAATCACCTCTTAATACTATCCCAATGGTCATTAAAATTTAACATGAGTTTTGGAGGGGGACACTCAAACCATAGCAGAAGTCTAAGCCTTACTTACCTCTAATCTCCAGAACATGGTGCTAAGGTAGCACCATAAATAAATCTTAAATGTAAATTCAATAAATTTGGGAAGCTATTGAATAAACTTGGTGAAACTATTTAACAGGTGGGACAGGTTTCTGAGGCCCTGGAGCTGTCCCATGTGGGGACAGATAGTCTAAACGAAGATCCTGTTGGACAATAAATACGTAAACACACATGACTGTTGCCCTTCCTGTGCAAGGGAATGTTGCCACCTGCTCCAAAGAACCTGGAGAAGGATAAAGGAGGAATTCTTAGTGGAAATATAAGCCAGGATTATTTTTATAGTATATCCTGAACTATCACTATTTCACCAGCTTATAAGGGCTCATCCCAGTCGAAATCGATAAGCCTCATGTAGCTAATGTTGCCATGTGGATCTTTCTTTTATGAAAACAGAATGGTTCTTTGGTCAAAAATTTATCTCCATTATGAAACTTTGTCAACTCTTTTTTCTTTTGCAATTATACCCTTTATCAAGAAAAGGATGCAAATGATGGTTTCAAAATAAATACAAAACCAACACATAAAAAGTGTTAGAAAATACAAGTCAAAAAGCATAAAAATAATAATCCCATTATACAAATGATTAATCATTGTTAACACATTGGTGCATGTTCTTTTGGAGCATGTGTAGTATGTGTAAACCTTCTTCTTGCAAAATTGCATCATATTATTTTCTAACCAGCTCTTTTCATTTAAGGTACTATGGATAACTTCCTAGATCATTAAGTAGTCTCTTCCACCTAGTTGTTAATAGATAAATGATTTCAACTTTTATGAATGTGCCATAATTTAACCAATTCCCTGTGGTCAGCTTCCCAAGCCCCCCTCCAAGTCTACAGTATTGGAAGATAAAGCCCAGACTCTGTATTTTTAACTGTGTCCCTGGTGATTCTGGTGACAAGAGAGTTTAGAGAACTTGTGTTAATAGAATATAGCAATGTTCATATAATAAGAATTCCACATTACAGATGTAAAAGAAATGCCAAGTCTTTATAACATCCTTCTACACATAAAATCAATATAATAATCAATACTTATGTTCTCTTGTGATTTTTGACTGTATTCTTTTGCCATTTTCTAGAAAATAACTTAATCTCATAAAATTCAGAAATGCAGAAAAGCAAGCTAAGAAGAAAATATAACTCCCAGATACAACCACTAATGACATTTTGGAAATCTCCTAGGAATTTGTCTTTATGTATTTATATCTATTTCTATTAACATATTACTTACAATGATAGTATTGCACTCTACTGTTTTACAGCCTTTTTCACCAAACAATATATTGTTAGCTTTTTCTATATCAACACTTTTCACATGGAATCACTAAGCTATACATAAAGCCACAAAGCCCCTTAATTATAGTGTCATTTTTCTCGTTTCTCCAATCTGTTCTCCAAGACAACTGCAGAAACTAAGGAGATCTTAATTTCAACAATGTTTTTGACTATGTTCCCTCAAATTCTGGACCTAATTAATTGTTTATCAAATTTTGTTGGGAGTCAAAAATATCAAGTCTGTGAAACTACAATCTCCTACATTTGCATTTTTCTCCCTTAGAAAGATATTGGACAATATTTACCCAGCTCTGGTCTCCTGGCACCTCTCCAATTCTCTCTGAGTTCTTAAAGATTGCCAGCAGTGGTTTTTGTCACCCATCTGTGAGTTCTTTAAGTCCTGGGTATCTCTGTTGTTCGGGCTTTTCAAAGCCTATGGTAAATTAATTTGTTCAACAAATAGTCTTTTTGAATATTCTGTACACTTGCAAGTCTCCGTCCTTTGAGGAGAAATTTGAGTTCTTAATGCTAACACAACCAAAAATAATGGTTGCCTAATTTAGTGAATAGGATGTGTGGCAAATTGAAAAGTATCATTTTTGGTTCATAAACAAGATTTTGACTATAAAGTTACACAGCTGGTCATATCATATGCAGCTGACCGATTGTCTCAAAAGGAAATGTAAAAGAGAAGCTCCAACGAAGTTTTGCGCTATTCCAGTATCCATGCAATATGTAAACAGCCTACAAAGTAAGGACCAATCTGGCCATATCAGCTCTACTGTGTTTGATATTTTTCAAAAATCCAATTTTATTACATTATTAACACTAGCTTAGTCTGCTTAGGCTACCATTACAAAATGCCACAGATTGGGTTGCTTAAACAGCAAAAACTTCTTTTCTCATAGTTTTGGGGGCTAGGAAGTTCAAACTCAAGGTCCAGATGATTAAGTTCCCAGCAAAGCCTCTCTGCCTGGCTTGCAGTTTGCTGCCTTTTTGCTGTGTCCTCACATGGAGGAGAGAGAGCCATTCAGTACTCTGGTGTCCTTTCTATTAAGGATACTAATTCTGTAGGGTCAGGGCTGTGCCCTATGACCCCATTTAATCTTAATTGTGTCCTTACTCCAAATACAGCCACATTAGGAGTTAGGGATTCAACATAGGAATTTGGAGGGGACACAATTCAGTCCACAGCAGACACTATAGTCATAACTTCTCATAATCCTGGCACAGGGACCAAATTTAACAAATCGAACATCAGAGCCTCTTGTTTGATAAGCTTGAGATGTATTTACGGGATGGATGGGATTTAGGAAATCAGAAGTATCCTGACTGGTCCAGAAATCATCATCAACTAACTCCTGCCTGTCGTGAATTCTGTTAGAAAAATGTTTTCTGCACAATTAACCCTCACCTTTAACGGTTAAATACATTTTAATGGTTAAACAAATGTGTGTAAATAAAGCAAGTGTGTTTCCCCATAATGCATAAAGATGCAAAAATAAATAATAAATAAATACAGGAAACCTCTGTAAGAAGGAAAAGAAAATTAATTGTTGATTTCTCTCTTCAGCCTCCAGGACGGACTCTGGCAGCCACTTTGGAGACTCCAAAAGGAGGAGGAGCAGGAATAACCCATCCTTACCTCTGCCTCACTTCTCCAAACTGGGGGACAGGATTTTGGGTGAGAGAAATGAAGGGCTCTTTAAATCCAGTGAGTAATTTTGCCCTTGGAGAACATTTTTGGCAAGGAGTCCATTTGTTTTTTGGATGGAAAAACCTTTTGATCTGCAGATACCATTTGTTTGAAGGGTGCTGTTAATTCTGTAGAGTCAGAATGGTTCCCAGAGGGGAAAGAAAGGCCAGCTGTTTAGAACACAATAGAGTCTAAACAAATGATGTTCACATTTGCATAGAGGCTTCTACAGTTGCTCATAGTGGAAAAGGTGGGAGAATATGGGTTAGAACTGCTGCTCTGGTATAAAGAGGT